ATATTGGTGTTAATGTTTGACTGTGTAACTTTACAAACGACACCACATATCCTGAGTCTCTGCTAACTCTGCACTTCTGCTGTTGTGCAACTGTTTGGCTTTTCCCCCCAAACTGTAACAGTTTGGAAAATATCACAATAAATGATAGAAAACTCCTCTTAAACTATTGTAATGAATCATAACTGAGCCAGTGAGACCGTTAAACTRTCTTATCATGGGTTTTTCCAAAGAAAAATGAACTTTTTGTGATATAAATGTTATGAAAGAATGAGCTTCATTTAATGCATGATTTCAGTTTTTCCTTTATTTCATCATGTGATGTCCAGTTGGATGAAATGACTCATGATGTGCAGTCATTACACTTTAAACCCTGCCATTTAATGAAATCACTTCAATTCTGTTTCCATTTTGAAGCACATTTAGATGATACAAGGAAGAAAAAACATAAAAAGTCTTCAGATTTCACATCATATAGAGTACATAAACGTTTTTCTTTTCACTTTAATCAGTCTTTTTTTAAAGAAAACTTCAGTGAACTTCATGAGACCCAGCAGAGCTAAAAACGTTGTTCCACACCAACTGTTTCCTGTCTGATACACCATGATGGTTGATGGTTTAAAAACCACACTGCCCTCGAGATTACAAATGTTCTCATGGATATTTAAAATAGTTTACTTTCTCCTCTCGCTTTATTTACTAAACTATATTTGGAAGCAGAAAATGATCAGCATGTTCTGCCAACACTACAGTCTGCTTTATCTGCTTCAAACTGTTTTTATGCCTTTTTGTCCCAGTTAGTTCCAGTATTTACCAACAGTCAGATGATGGAAAGGACTGGACTGCAGGGCGAGTCAATATTTGTCCTTCTGGATGTTCTCTTCTTGCAGTTGCGTTTTCTGTTGAAAACTCTGAAAACAACCAGAAGGATCAGTACAAATGCTGCTCTGAGGAGACGTTCATAATGCCCCTTTTCCACTAGTGCCACTTAGTGTAGTGTCGGTACGGTTCGGTCCGGTTCCAAGCCATTTCCATTAGGCCGGATCCATGGAACCGGCACTTTTTTTACTACCTACTTCATTGTGGTTCCAAGCGACCCCAGCTGACACCAAAATGTGACGTCAGAACACTGTTCGTCACTGATTGGCTAAATTTTTGCAAATTTTTGAAATTTCAAAAGTTATTCATCAAATGTGTTTCCATCTCTCATTTTGCACATTAACTTTTTTTCAAAAAACCTAAAAACCACCTCCACCAACCGCCCAAAAACACCCATTGGAACCGGACTGGAACATCAGTGGAAAACCAACCGGTCTGAACATATACATATATATGTGCAAATGTGCAAATTAGAATTTCGAAAATAAATTTGCTCAATGGAAACACGTCAATTAAAAAAAAGTTTTTCGACAAAATTTTTTTGCACTAGGATGAGGTGGTTTTTCGTTCGTATCAAAATTGGTGTTTTTCGCAAAACTGCAATGGAA